CCCCAAACAAAGCCAAGCAAAGTAGAAAATTATCCAAATTGATGATACAAGTTGCAATCTTGAATAGGCCAATGAACAGAAGAGATTTAAAAAAAAAAATTAAACTGCCGTTTAAAGATCACAAGGTGCCCTATGATCCAGCGATCCCACCCCTGGGCGCGCACCTCCCGAGAACTGAACGCAGGGACTGGAACAGATGTTTGCAACCCCGTGTTCCAGCAGCATGGTTCACAGACAGCTGGAAGGGGCCCGCGCGTCCACATGGATGAAGGGAGGAAGGGAGGAGGGTCTCAGCCTTGCGAGGAGCAGCCCTGAGGGCCCTGAGCTCCGGCTCAGTGTGACCCTGCGCCCCCAGGCAGGGCTGGAGAGGCCCCGGTGTGCTCATGCTCCAGGCTCTGAGCTCCCAACACTGTCAGGGGGGCTTGCTGTCAGCCCCCCTCGGCAGAAGCCGGGCCGGCTCTCAGCTCCGTGGCTCCAGCACCCAGGGCTCCCTGCGCTGCTGTCCTCCCCTCTCGACGCGGCTCCACAGGGCCCGTGTTCAGGTGGAAGTTTCCTAGGTGACCTTACAAGCAGCTCCAACTTGGGGCACCCTGATGGGAAGGGCTTGGCCACAGAGCCAGCAGTCGGATGAGGGACCCTGCCCAGCTGACCTGTGTCCACCCCACCTCACGGAAGGGGCCCTGCTGGGCTGGGTGGGGTGCGGGCTGAGGGCTACACGGTGGCTCTCGAGGGGTGAGGGATGCTGACGCCCAAACAGACCAAGCCCTAGGGAGGCGGAGGGTGTGGGGGGAGGGCACAGGCACTGGTCAGAGAACCAGAGGGACACCGTGCATGCAGCAGTGGGAGGATTTGTGAAGAGGCAGTGGGAGGTCAGTGCCCAGCTAGAAGGGGCTGGACAGGACAGCAGGGAGAGCCGGGGCTGAGGGCACAGCCTCTTTCCTCTCCCTACCCCAGGGAGCTCACTTGGTGGAGGGGTCTACTCTGGACGCTGCCCAGGCCGAGGGCTGAAGCTGGCTGGGACCTGCAGGTGCCTGGCACCCTCCCAGCTGTCACCGTCTCCTTCAGACTCACAGGCACAGAGACCCGGCATGGCAGCCTCCCCTGGGAGCAGCATCTAATAGACCGTTTATCACATGCTCCGAAGTGGGCCAAAGCACAATGTGAACTTGCTGGGTTGGTCTCTGGGTCACCCAGGCTTTGCTTTTGTGCCTTTAAATAGCCGTCTCCCTGGTGACTGATTCCAGAGAAGGAGGACGCTCCCGCCCACTTTCTCACTCTCCTCCCTGGTCAGCGCATGAACGGTCATTATCTTGGCTGGGGGCTGCTGGGGGCCGAGGCCAGAGAGGCGCGCCTGGTTCCAGGCCAAGCGGCTTGGGCGCACCAAGTGGGTGGATGGCCAAGGGTGAGCCCATGGCCCAGCAGGAGCAGCCACCCCCGTGTGTGTCCCGGGTGAGAAGGAAGCTTCCTTTGCTAGGCCGGCTTGGTGCAACGGCCGGCGGCTGGAGGCTGTTCTTCAGGATTGGGAGGTGGTGCAGGTGCCCTTGACCTAGGCTGCTTACCCTGGGAGCCCCGAGGGTCCACCTCCAGTCAGCGTGTCTGGACACCTGTCAGGTCTGCTGCCCCCGGTGGGCTAAGGCAGGGCCGTGTCTCAGGGCAGTCAGCCGTGAGCCCCCAGGACCCCGAGTTCCAGGCCTCCCCACATGCCAGCGCTGAGCTGGGCCCCGCGTCCCTCGCCGACCAGCCCATCCTGCGGGCTCTGCCCCTTGAGGAAGCAGGTCGGGCCCACGCTTGGGCTGCTGCTGAGGTCCCCATCAGGCTCCACGGCCACCAGGGTGCAGCCTCCCATCTTCTTTCATTTTTCATTTTGGAAAACTTCAAGCATAAATACAAATGGGGAGGAGGAGAAAAATTCACCACCCCGCACCTATTCCCAGCTCGGTGCTCATCTTGTTTCAGCTGCTACCTTCCCACACTCGGGGTAGCTGAACTGAACCCCGAAATTGTCCCGCTTTATCTGTGAACATTTCAGCGGGCGTCTCCGCTCGTGCGGTCTCGGTCCCTTCGGCCCCTGGGATAATCCGCGCCGGTGGCTCCTACCCGGACCTTGTCAGACTCAGACGATCCCACTAGTGCTTTGTGGTCATGATGGTGAGGATTTATACAATGACTCAGAACAGAATCCACGCGAGGCCCGGCCCCCCGGCCCCCTTCTCCCCGCGCTTTCTGCGGAGGGTCCCGGTCATTGTGCCCCCACACGTGATCCCGAACGGCCCCGCCCTTGGTGCGCCGGTCGTGGTCTACACCAGCGGGTGGATCCGGTTTGACTTGCTGCCCGGCTCCGTCCGCGGCCACCACGGTCTCGTCCGAGTTAGGCCGTGGGCGGCTCACCCGTGGCTTCCTGAGGAGCGCCAAGAGGCAGTGTTCTGGTTCTGCCACGAAGTCTTCTTGGCTTTGCAGC